AATTGCACGTTAAAAAGCATAGTGCGGTTGAAGCGGATTCGTTACCTCCGTTCTCTTTCGAATGTGCTGATATAACGTGAATAAAATCCAACGAGTAAAGGAGTCTCTTTGGAGATCGCTATTGTCCGACGAAGAGGACCCGCGAGCCTACGAACGAGTCGTCGCAAAAACGTGCAGCCGTTCTCCTGCATAATTTATAAGGGAAACTTTGTAAAGGGTGCAGCGAAATTGCCAAGTAAAATGTACGAAGACGTCCACCTGTCCACGATCGCTTCGCGAAGTTCGGCCTTGTCAACGCAGTCGTTTCTCTCGTTAAAGCCACAATTTCCACGAAACTTTCTTTACATTGCGCAAGGCGCGCCGCGTTCCCTTTTTCCAGTAGGTCAACGTGAGAAAAAAGAGGACGATCCACTTTTTCGACGAATGAAGACAGCGGCGCGTTAGTCTTCAGCCGAGCGTTTTGCGGGTTTTCCCCCCCTCCCCGACTACATACAGGCGACTCATAAATTATACGGAATTAATGCCTCAATGAAATTTTCCATAATTCTTGAGGTAGCACGGGTTTCGAGCCGAGAACCGGCGATCTGTTCCTTTTATGAATTAAACATTTGCGTTACCTTCGATAAGGCTAAAAACAAATGTCGCGCACGGAGACCGCAGCGTGCTTGCGATTTATTAAATACCGCCAGCTTTTTTTAGCACTTGTCTGCTCTCGGCTAGTCACAGTTCATACATTATAAAGTAAAATCTAGCAGAAGTGGCACGACTTGACTTTTCCCGGAATATTGATTTTGCGAGATGTGACAGAAGAATAAATGCATAAAGTGGAAGCAATGATAATCATGCATGTAATGATAATTATTGTAGACCGAGAGTTTTTTTAACGCGACGATCACACACGGCATGTTTTAACGAGGTAAAATAAATCGAACAAATTTTCATAAAGTCACTTTCAACTTCAGGTGGAATTGCTCGTAAAATCGGCATGTTTCTCGCGTAATTACAACTGTCTGAGAAATATTCCGTGATACGTTTTGGTCGGCGTGTGGCAAAGAATGTTCCCACTTATGAAGCTTCTGAAAAAGTCCGTTGACCCTTGGAGTTAATCCGACGTTATTTTTGATGCGACGAGCTCCGAGTCGTTTAAACTGGCCACTTTCCGCGACAGAGATGTCACGGTATAAAAGCGTGGGGCACTCCGGGCACTGTAATCTCCGGGAGAGATGACCGCAGAGCGCTGTAATTTTAATCGCGCGACTTTGATAACGTTGCATGCACGTATGCGCGACGGCGAAAAGGGAATCGAAAGGGAATCGCGCAAAGAGAATCGAAATTGCGACGTCTGTCGACCTCTCTCCTCTCGCCCGCGCGCAGACATACGCCCTGGAGTCGATGAAAAATTGATGCACTGCAGATAGGACTGACGTTATGAGGCGCTTCCCGGGTTTGACATTTGTATTAAACGATATATCGGCTACTGAAAATTGCTAGAAGGAAATAAAATGTATTTTTTATTATATTAAATAAACAGATGCGCGCTCTTTAAAATCTATTAATCACGAACAGTTTGGGCAATTTCAAGTTGGTTTCTCTATAAAGAAGGCAAGAAGAAAATTGAAATGTCGAAGAGTTTAATAATTAGATGACTGCGATTTAAAATTGGAAAAGAATTGCGATTTTCTCTGTAGACTTCCATAGTTACAAACTCCGATAATAAAAGATTCCCTTGTAATTGCTGAGGTAATGCAATCTTTTTCCGAAGGTGCTTACAAATGTGCGATGTCTTTCATAAAGAGTTTGTTCAGGAAACTTTACTTTAAGTTTTGCTCTCGAAAACCTCGCGCGCCGCTTAAAACCTCAACTCGCGTTTCGTTTACGTTTGAGGCGTCGGGGATATTCCGTTGTATTGGGAAAAGATAAATGATCCTCCGGGTAGAGCTCGCGTCGCTGGAAACGTTTCAAGCTGGAAAAAGTTTCAATCGTTTTTCTTCCCATTCGTTTTCTTTCATTCGCGGCGCGACGCGGGAGAGTATTTACCAAGCCAGTTTCCGTCCTTCTTGCGATTATGGGATTTTATGTGATTGCTTATGAGGAAATATTAGGCACTGTTAGCTCGATGCATTTGGCACGGAAGCATAAGGAATATAAGTTTCACTGTAAAATAAATCTTGTCTACGCCAAAAGCGAACGCTTCGATCGAGTTTTCAACGATATCAACGGTATGCAGCGATATTCACAAATACAAACCAAGTTTGGTTTCTTTGCCCGTTATCGAAATTCACATGTAAGTTATTGAGGTTGCCGTTACAGAGTTTTATTACACATAAATACAATTTTGTTTTTATCACAAAATTATTTTTTTATTTAAAACATATCTTGTAATTAAATTACTACTTATAGATATTATACATATGTATAAACAGGCTAAAAAGTCTGTGACTATCTTTTCATAAAAGAGGAAGTAAATGTATAAAAAGATAAATAATTAAATACATATCTCTTCTGAGGAAAGATGATAAAATTTATATTAATTTATATATTACTGGCAAAAAACGATTTTTTAAAAGATATGTGTTATAAAAAGAGAACAACATGTGGAAAACATGTTCTTTCTTTCTTTGTAAAGAAAATTTAATTCAAAATTATAAATTTATTCATGAGTTGCAAAAACAATTTGATTATATAGGCGCAGTTAATAGATTTGAAATTAAGATAAAAATAGATGTATTAAAATTAAGGGTAGAAAGTGCGGGAGAGTACGCGAGAATGTAGGCGGGGCGCTCGAAATAAAAAAAAGTAGGAAAAATAAGCACGGATAATCCTCGTCAACATCGTTTGCCGTGGTTATGGAATCGAGCCTTACTTTTCCTTCACCATTATGAGATTTTCTGACGTCAGCTATCCGCCGTCTGTGAAATGCGCGGGTATTAAACTACCCCGTTCCCGCGCACAGAAGCCGGAGGATTGAAGACAGTTTTCCGCGGCGAGCTCATCGCGCTTGCACACCGAATTTTTCGATAATCACCTTTCATAACCACGTTTTCTCGGTTACCTTTTTCCACCCTACTTCGGAATATCCTTCCGGCGACGCGTCCCGGCGAGCCGATATCGCCGTATCAACTGGTTACAATCAACTCCACGGGAAAATGCGCGACGGAAATATCCCCCGTACACATTCTGTATCTGTATATTTTTTATTCTATTGCTCGGAATAATTTCCCAACGTAAAGGAGAACGCGAGCGAGTGTACATCAGGGTGATTCGCCGCTACCCTGTGAGACGCACCGCTTTCCGCGTTTCTTCATTCGCTCGGATACACTTTATGCCGGGCAGAGCGGAGACTACGTTATTGCTAACGGGCATTTTTAATATCGAGCGAAAACGGCAAAGGCGTGTTGCCGGCCATGCACTTGTTATTAGTAGCCGTTTCGATATTAACGATAGAGCGATCGTCGACCCGATCTCTCTCGCTGGGCGTGGCGAGAGGATACTTCGAAAGTGGGTCGACGAGCGCAGCTTTTTAAATAGCGAAGCTTTTCACGATCTCGAGCAACTTTAATCTCGAGCATTTTTCAATACCTATATCGACAGAAATTTATATTCCAACATGTCGTTCGTATGATCACAGGGAATGAGCTGTTTCGAGCATAAATTCTAACGTCGCATAATACACGTCGTATTAAGCGTCACGCGATTGGATATTATTACATGTTTGTGCAAAAATTTGCACATATTTTTTCATCAATCTTTTACTACTCGTGCATTCTCGTTACATATTATCGAAAAATCATGGTATATCAATTACATTTTTATTTTTTTATACATGATCCAGATTATTAACGAAAATTTTATAGGAATTCTCCTAGAAATATCGGTTTCGCGTTACATTTATGGATTCATGAAATGCGCAATTTCAAATGCGATTTTTTTAATATCCAACGTTAGATTACTTTGTATAAGTCCCGAATTAAAATTCTATTAAAGCGAACATTGGAAATTGTTTGAAGAATATAAACTTGATGTGTTCGCGTTATTTCGCTAAAATATTTATATTCTTTTAGTAATATGTTTAATTAATTAGAAATTATAGAATCGATTCTGGATTTGTAAAAAAAAAAAGAAATGAGAAATTATATAAATAAAATAAATTGAATTTTATAGATTGTTAGTAGAATCAATATATAATTAAATGAAAGGAAAATTTAAGTTTAATATTAAACTAGATTATTGGGAATACATTCGATATATATCGAATGTACACATAGTGATTGCCTACTTTCGTTTCGGATACTTATACATTTTTTTCGCAAACATTATCGAGAGTTCAATTCATTGCTTCATTTTTATCAGCATGAATAATGCATTTTTATTCATACAGCAGAATTAATTATTACAAAACTTCCGCGCACGCTCCAATCTTGCTAGCATCAGTTCTTCAAATCTGTAAGAAGATTTTCCGCTGTGGCGCGCATCTCACATTGATCTCGCTTAAGTCATGAGAACCCGCATCTGAACGAGCTGTTCGCGCAAATTTATTGATTTGCCAGTAATCAAAACCCTTTCAGAGCGATTACGTCGCTGAGATTAATTACGAGATTAACTGCCGTGTCAAATAACCGCGACGAGATGACGCCACGACGGTCATTGTTATACATACAAACAGAGAAAGACAGAGAGACAGAAAGAGAGAGAGAGAGAGAGAGAGAGAGAAAGAGAGAGAGAGAGAGAGGGGGGAGAGATAGGGAAGAAAGTTTTTCATGCATTCAATTAGGAATAAAATTTAAATAATTGTTATACTTTGAGAAATATTAATGAAACTATATAAAATTTTTATACATCTTTAATATATCTTTGTGTACTTCTACATATTTAATAATTCATTTCTCATATATGTACTACATATGAAAGGAAATGATATCCGCCTGTGTCATTGCTCATAAACCTCGCAAAGTCAAAGCGCTTCCGTTCATTATCTGCTTAACTCGCGGTGGCCGACTAATCAGCGCTATTAATTGCGATAATTGGCGCGCTCGGCCGCCTCGACCGAGCGGCGTCAAATCGTCATGCAGTCCTGACGGTGTGTTTGAGAATGCGAATCCCTCGTACGTTCTCGCTAGCCGTTCTGTGTGGCTACCTTCATGATATTTATGCCGCCACTTTATCTCAAAGTAGCGGCTGGCTTACGCGCGATAAGAGATACCTGGTGTTTCCGCCACCAGGCAGAGACTATACTCCGACAAAAGTTCAGGTATGTATAAGTTCACAGGCTCCAAAAGTGTTCTGAAACAAAACAAACGGGACTGGTATGAAACATCGCGGTTAGGCCAATATTTCAACGGGACTATTAAGGGATATTGCTAAATAAAAAATTGAGATTTATTTCTTTTATTTTTACTTTCAATAAGTATAAAAAATAGTTATTGTTATATATTTGAAATATGCGCGATTGACTATTTCCCTTTTTTTTTTTATAAACTGACTGTGCTATATATGTCAAAATGTTTCTTATCAAATTAGAATTAATAATAATCAGCGCAGGATTGCTCGGCGTAACGTAACCAGAAAAACGCCTTAGTTTTTTATTTAGTTCGGACCTTATAACAAAGTTCACTTGACCCCGAAATTAAATAAAAGTTAAATAAAAATCGGCCCGTTAGCGTGTTATTCGGATCGTTTTCTACAATCTCGACGGCGGGTGACACGTTTGATGGAGAATTCGCGATATCGCCGGCTATTCGAATCACAGAGTTTCGGGACATCCATTTTCCGATCTAATTTCGTGTGGTTGTACCACGATCGCTGGCGGCACTGGAGAGCGAATGGTAGAAGCGAGAGGGGGAGGACGGGGAGGGGGGTGATTCGATCTCTGGTTGTGGCAAACGATCGATGACACCTTCCTATATTTGAAAACCGTTCCAGTTAATCCTCGGCCTCGGTTTACCCATGGAAGTTGACGTCAGCATGATTATCGGCTACGTGATGAAATTTAATTACGTCCTGCCGTATAACGCCTCGTACTTGACGGATCCATACGTCCGCTATGACAGATCGATCAGCCGCCATGTCGAGCCTGATGGAAATGACGCCTCTCCGCCAAATGCGAAAGGTATCATGTTCTTTGCCTGCGCGGCATGTGAGATTAATTGAAGCTATTGTCCGTCCAGAGGGACGGACTTTCCGCTCAACTTGCGTCAGGAATAAAATAATCTCGAATCATTATTCAAATGGCTAATTCGTAGCATTAGTCTGTATTATTAGCATAATTCTGTATGAATTAATTGAAACTATTGTGATAGTATCTATTTCCATTTAGAGGGTCTTTACACGTTTTCACGTATAATATAAATTATATCTCAAATCATTGTCCAAATTATTGGACTCGCAGTGTTAATCGTAGCAAATTTCTGTTATAGAAAATTTCTGTTACAGAATATTATCAAATTATTTATTGTCATTAATTCTTATATTGGAGTTTAATATCGCTTGCGAGTTTCAATTTCGCCACACTAGGTGTATACTGCGTCTATAGCTATTTTTAACTATTAATAACTCTTCAGATATTTTTAAACATATTTTTTAAATTTAAATTCTAGAAAAAGCCCTAGAATAGAATTTTTTTTTGAACTCCATAAACGCTATTTGCTTCAAAAAATTAGTTTTTTAAAATGCCGTATTATATAAAAGGAATAGTCACTTTTTAATTTTTTAGAATAAATAGGAAATAATGATTTCTTTAAAAAAAAACTATTTAATCACACATGGATGTAGTATATCCAAGACTGATTTTAATGGTATCCCCGATATCTACTAAACAGCAGATGTGACTGCACAACCTGGGGAGTCACAGAGAAAAACAGAAGCTTTTTATCCTCCAATTCCGATTTCCTACTTTCCATTATATAGAAACGGCGAGCGTTTCGATAACAAATATGGGTGTGGTACGCCCAATGCGATGTTCTAGAATTAATATACATTCGAAAACTGTTGATATTCTGATTCAATCTGAAGATTATACCGTATACATATAAGTATTTGCACATCTGAGAATTGGAAGGAAATAAACGTCATCGATTGTGCTTTTAATCGGAGTGAAGCTATCCGATCTGACGCGGATGCTGCTGCACGCACCTAATTGATATAGAAATATAAAGTTTATTCTGAGGATCATTCATGATTCCGGATCTTCGCGAAAAAGCCTCCGGGCGAAAGATAGAGCTTATGAATTTTGCGTTCTTCTGCTTCTCAGGTGCACTGCCGCCGCGCGTCGCGTTGATACGTTCGAAAAGGAGAGATAGCGAACAGTCAGATAGCGAAGAGAAAACGTGTGATATTATATGTAAAGCGGCGTTTACACACGCAATGATTAGTGGCGTCAACTGACTGGCATTCATTGGCGCCGGAAGCCGTCTGGCAAACTCACAAGTGTTTACACAGTGATGCTATATTGACGTACAATATGGAAAATATTTAACATTTATTAATTAAACACACAGTAAATGACAGCAAGCATATAACTTCAAAATTTGATATGCTTCGGCCAATAACCGCCAGTAAACGCTACATTACTAGCGCCAGGTTGTATCAAGTGCAATGTTTACACTTGCATTTTTACTGGCGCTAGTCGATTGGCGCCACTAATCATTGCGTGTATAAACTCCCCAGGCAGCGTTGACAAGATGCATCTCGAGTGGAATACCGTCCCTCGAAATCTGACGAGTGTATAGGTAGTCGGGGCTCGATGAGCGAAGAACGAGGCTTAATACCGGGATAAGGATCCTTCTCCTTTCCATGTTAATAAGCCCACTTTTGTTGCGTGACTCGTACGTTTATCTCCTGGCACAATGGACGTTAATCCCGCTCCTTTATCAAAGGAGCTCTCTCCCATTCCCTTTGATCTCGTTAATCCGACGTAACCTAGCCTGGATCCCTCCTTATTTTTTTTTTGCCGTATCTCTTCTTACGTTGTATCGGACTCGTAGTGACTTGTGGCGTTTGATCTTCAGATACTTGACGGTCTTTGAAGATATTTTTCGAGATATTAATCGGTCTCGATACAGCAAGAAAAAATAATAATGATTTAAAAAACGTGATGTTACATTTATATCATAAACTTATATTCTATCTATATACATATAGAGCTTCAATCTTAGAGAAAGACTATTATGAAATAAGAGGAATATTTTTATTTGTATATTACTTTGAAGCATACATAACTTTATTAATTAATTTTAAGATCCTCTTCTAAAAAGGAGATGTGAAGTTTATTGTTGCCGCTTTTCCGCGATGCCCATTGGTTCTCTTGCTGCGCTTACTTCATTTGCAGCTGTCATTGTATATTTTGACAGTTGTGTATAATAGGGTTAATAGTGAAATGTTAAAGATAAATAGCGCGCGCGTAGCGCGCGTCTGTAGTGTCTAGTAAATTATAAAAAATCTATTGAGTACCTGCTTGTGAATAAAAATTTGAAGTTCGAGGTAAATATTTAAAAATAACGGCATATTCATGAACGTTTCGTGCTATATACTTTACTTTTTCTTTTTCATAATTTTAATATTGCATTTATTTGTATTATGTTTTTGCGTGTATATCATCTATGTTTCTATTATTATTTTTTCGATGTGAAGCGGCTTTGATGTCCAGATGGGAGTATTACGAAATCCTCGAGTCGGTCTTCGAGTCTACGCGTTCGGGGAAAGCCTGCCTTTTGAAAGCCATTTGCGAAGCCGCGGCGGTACCTTTTAGACGGAGCCATACCCTGACTGCACAGCTCGCCCATATTTTCCTCACGTAAGCGTTAATCCGGCAGGTAGTCTCTTAGAATAATCTTTAGCTAAGCCCGGAATAGCTTCGCGATTAAGGAACTGTTACATTTGCGGCTTAGGAATGTGAATAGTTTGCGCTACATACGCGGCCCTATTATGCGGCATATCTACGCCCAAGTGCATACGGGCACCTTACTAGACATTTATTCAGAATGAACTGATTGTACGTTCTATCTAAATGATATTTGTATTATAATAATTGCGAAATAATTTATTTTATTTTATTGAATAACAAGCGCAATAAGCGCGTTTTGCTACCGACACGTTTTCGTGACATTTTTTGTTTTATATAATATTTCTTCATGTGAGAAACAACAGCGTTGCGTTTTAAAGATGTAGTTATTTTTATAATACAAATATTTCAGGCCTTCCACCACATCTGAACCATTCAGAAACGTCTTTGATCAAGAATATCGTGCCGCTGAAATCGCAGGTCAACAAGACTCCAACAGTTGCGACGATTTATTTCCGGAGTGCACGGAAAGCCTCTTAGATTATTTTACCGAGATAAAATAACTATGTTATTCCATTGTCATTGAGAGATTTTTATCTTAGGTTTTAGTTACATCTTTATGTTTAATCAAGGCTATTAGGATTTGTGGATGTCATGCAAGGATGCCATTTTTATCACGATAGCAGAAGCAGCAGAGCTTTCCTTCGTTGCAATTGTATGAGAAGACATTATTTATCGCAGTATATATTTTAAAACAAAATATATTTTACCGTCTACGATATATTAAATAATGAACTTAAGCTATTAACGATTAACTGGTAAACGAGATGACTTTATCTACCTATATTCTTAAAATCTCAGCTCAAATTATTTTATTCTTAATGACGAATTTAAATTATATTGCTAGACAATTACACACCTTGCTCTAGAATATTTTAATATAATTGTATATACGAAAGTATGCGATACACACAATGAGAATGAAATTGCAGAGATTTTGAGACCCAAACAAAGCATCCTTTTTAATAACAGTTCCGTTATACCGCGTCATGATTAGTGGCCAATCTTCTTGACCTCTATAAATTTCGAGCGAGCCATTTTCTCTTCGCATGCACCTGTTGTCGAACGAGAGTATTGGCAATAACATCCGATAACTGCGTCACGTTCAGTCGCAAGCAGCGCGTCCTTCATTCTTCTTTCATGTGCTTCCTCTCGCCATTTCCTTCGTCCATTTACTTCCATTCCGCTCATTGTTCTGTTCTTTAATATTTGTAATATCAGGTCGGACACGACTGTGCGACAGAGCTCGTGTAATTTACGACCCTAAGAAAAAGAATCTTGCATGCTTCGACGTAAATGTGCACTTAAATGTCCTGAAATGAAACACCCAGGAATAACGATCGATCTTTTTTGTAACGTGAGCAAATTATCTTTGAATGATTAAAAGTCGAGCTAACAATAAGTCAATTATCCTTCATTCCGATAATTTAATTTTTTTAAATGTTGTTTGTGGGTGCGAAAGAAAAAGCACGACTTAAGCAATTATACTTGAAGCGCAGCTTGTATTTCGAAAAATTGGAGATTTCAGTGCCACATGGTTTTGAATAAATGAAAAGGCACCAAACTTTCGTGAAAAAGAACGAGATAAAAAATCTCGATGTTACATTATCCCAGATAGATAAACGCGATGTGAAAAATAGGATTAGGTGATTTGAAGTTTGCTAGCGATCAAAGTAGCGAAAAAGAGATAATAAGCAGCCTTCGTGAGAATCTTCGACTAGGAGTTCAAGGTTACGGATATCCTGGAGGCGGTAATATAGAAGATACTGACGTTATAGAATCGACGATGAGAGCTGTTACATTGTTTCACATTTCGCGAATCTATTTTATGCTATCACTTCCGTTACGCGTATATATTTTTTATCAAGTGGTGTCCAATCTATCGTCCGATACCTGAATTTATGGAACACTATGATACTTTTTATGTAAAACTCTTTACACCAATTGTTCCAGTTTGCGAAGAGCTCTTTATTTTTGATTGCCGTTAAATCGAAAACTTTTGAAGCTTTGACATTTTTTTTTTCGAGGGAAGTCTCGAGATTAAGCTCAGAGATCGACTAGCGGGAATTGTTCTCGGGAATTCGTGCTTTTGTTAGAATTACGAATTGTTAACATGCCAGTTAACTAACCAACTAGAACCGCTTGATTTTATCGAGTGGACAAGGCAATTGGCTTAGTTCGTATGTATCGTCGTGGATTCCGCCGCGTGGAATTGAATTACAACTCCAAGACGACAAGTAATAAAACTCACCCTTCTCGCGTATCCTAGTTCGACTGTTCGTCGAAATAAAAGGAAAGGAATCAACTTTCTCTCGCAGTTACCTTCTCTGGGGATTATCCAAAAAGATATTGATCGACAAGCAAGTTTCCGATTCGCAAGGCGGATTTAATATGTAACTCAGCTGCCGAAATATTCAAACATAAATTATCGACGAGAAAAGTTATTATTATCATCAATTTGTATCAAGTCTAAAGAGTCTGTCTATTACATTCCGAAGTTGTTAACAGACTCTTCAGACTTGATACAAATTGATAATAATTACTTTTTTCATACACACGTAATTATGTAAAGCAAGACATTATGACGAAACGTTAAAAGAAGAATTGAAGCGGAAGTTCTCATTCCCACGCTTTCGATTTCCGGGCACTTTGTCATTCATTTCAAGCCACTTCTAAGGTGCTGACGAACGGCGGGTATTTTTTTCAATTTTCGCTTCAAGCGGCGTACAACTATCGTGGAAAATGGATCCTCCGATACCGCCATTGTTGACCAGCGTGATAAACTGACCCCGCATACGTCTTCTTTTGTTTCAGAAATACCCCTCCCCCCCGCACTGTTACGTAACCATTTATTTTTAGTTCACCGCCGATTTTGTGCATTGTATCCCGCAATCCGACCTCTCCCGATATAAAGAGAAATGAATCGAAGCCGCAGAAACGTTTCCTGCCACGCTGCGCGCTGTCGAGGATACACTTTGCACGGATCCTGTTCTTTAACCGAGGCGTCCTCGCGATACGACAATTTAATCCTGCGATGCATTATTCTTTTTTTATCCATTTGCATAATATGTAAGTATAACATTCGCAGCAATGATATGCAGACATGAAATAAGAAAGTCAGATTTCTGTATGTAGAATTTTATTCTCGCTGAGCAGCGCGATGGTCAAGAAAAGTTTTCACCGAGGAATAAATCTTTCCTTTTTTTTGTTCCGTTTGCTTTCGGTCGAGCTGCATCTCCACATTTTTTTCGCGAAGATTCGTGGACGAATGGACGTTGCTTAGCTGGGTGAATACGCGTTTTGCATTCAGCCGCAGCTGTCCGACGGCGATTCCGCGCGTATGTACATAACGAGGGGGAGTTTTATGAGATCGTACGGTCGCCGTGATTCAATTTAGCATCATGAACTCTCGCCGACTTACAAAGATATTCCACGATGTTACGAGATTACGAGGATACGAGCGCGCTCGAGATCCTTCCGCGGCGAAACGAAACTTCGCCTTTTCTTGTTACCCGCTGGCCATTTTTCTTCGCGAACAAACCGACCGACCGACCGTCCCCGCCCTCGCACAAATTTTCGCTAAGATTTTATTACGTTACTGGATCATCCGTTTAAAGGCCTGCAAGATATCCGCCGCCGGCTACCGTCGATCATGACGTCGTCCGAAGTTAGAAACGCGAACGATTCTTCGTAATTTACGGTCGTGGAGAAAGAGAAAAGTATGTCCGCGAGAAGAAAAAAAGTTTAAATTCAAAATTATTGGCTCTGACGTACGATTTGTATCATCGTAATCAGATACGGAGAGAATTTTTTGTTATATTTTACCCTCAAATTTACTACAAACTTGGGACAACTTGGCAACCAAGGAATTTTTAAAATTTACAAAAGACATTTTACAAACAACGTGATAAAAATTACCAAATAAAATTTTGAAAAATTATTGAAATTTCCTAGATATATTTTAGTAAAATTAATCAAACATATATTATATTTTAATGTAATAGATATTAATATTTTTTATTATGGTAGATATTAATAGCTCGCATAAAATTCTTGGTGGTACATATTGTCCCACAACTACCATGATTTCAGGGTAAATTTTAAGAGAAAATTCTCTCCGTGTGGAGAAACGTTTATTCCTGTTCTATTATTCTACCTCGTTGAAATCGACTACTATGTAATGTATAATACAAATATCACGAAATATAATATATAGTATAATATGTGTATAATACAAACATGTCTCTCGCTGCTTTTTTTCGAGGCTATACGACCGAAAAGGGAATTTACCTTTGACCTTTTTATTCCATTGTAGACAACCCTTGGAAGTCGTTCTGAAAGAGGTCAATGTTGTTGCTATTCCACGAATACAGTCAGCGACTCCGTATGACTGAAGACACCATACGGAAAGCTAAAGCAGGACTTAAAAAGGAAGATGTTGCTTTATTGCCCTTTTTCATTCTTCTCTTCGATTTTTTTCATTCTTCTCTTTTTTTCATAATGCGACTTCGATTTAAGCTTAGGCCGGAGGCTATGGTTTTGTCGCTTTTATCGAGAAAACTTTTTTCTGTGACGCTATCAGTGAAGTGCCGATCTGTTTATTTTTGGTGCGACATTAAGGTGATATCATAAGGAAAATGGGGCACGAACACAGTTTTCTTTTCGCGGTTTTCCGACGCGATATAGATTTTTTTCTTGATGTACGTGGAGTCATCGAACTCATCTTGGCACTCGACAACTTGCGATAGGATTCGTGGAACTGGCGCGGATTTTTAGGAAAAGAAAAATTTGCGAGCGTTGTAAAGAAAAATGCATGGTTACTGGAGTGTAACGTTTTAATTATAAGAAAACCTGAAAGAGAAATAGATTTAAAGCGGAGTTTCTAAATAACATATTTTTGGGGGGAGAGGGAAAGATCATACATAATTATCGTAATGCTTTTTGATATAGATCTGACCAGAATTTCTGCAAATTTAATGGATTAAGTGGTAATGATAAATCAAAGCCAGAAATTTGGCGAAGCATTTTAATGTCTTTCTGCAATGCAGAATTCCATAATGCACCAAATTTGAAGCTGCAACAATCCATAACTTTAAAACATATTCATATTTTTACGTTTAGAAAAAATAATATACTTTATTTTTATTCGTAAATTTAAACATTAGCTGCAGCAAATATCGAATTCTTTTATTACTTTGTGCTTTACATGGAATTAGAATTATTAGAACCAGATTTGATGTGATATACAATTAGCGCGTAATCTTTTCTTTAGGGCTGGTTATCCTTTTCAAGTGCAAATCAGGAAAGAATTTAATTGAATTAAAAAAAACACGCTTATTTCATAACATTAATAATTCCTAACACGACGCAGATGATTAAAGCGGCTCCACCGAGAGATACGTGTCCACTATGCACGCGATACCGGGATGTGGCAAGCACGCATTTGCTCTTTCGCATATTACACCATTTCGCGTTACGACGAGACATTTAATTCGCGTGACATGACAAAGGTGCGAAGAGGTCTCATCACGACGTAACTTTTAGCAGCCGTGTACCGACACGACGCGGTCCGCAAACTTAACTTATTAACGGAGACGCGTTACACGCAATTTCGTGATCCTGGCGTGTTGCATAATCGCGCCGTCGCGTCGCCGCGCCGCGCTGATTTCAAATATTTGTCCGAACCGCGTCCGGATGTGCATGATACGAGACGCGTTAGCGAGACCGCTCGTTATGCACGCGTTGTCAGTGGGTATTGCATCCGCGTCGTATCGCATAAACGACGTTATATACGAACGGCTCGAGCCACGAAACCTCGTCGCTGGCAATTCGCCGGCAACTCCCGGGAAACCGGCCGCAAACATTTGCACTGGGGGGGTTGTTTAACGGTCCCGGCGACAACACAACGAAAACGATATGCCTGCGAAACCAATCCGGTCTTCGCTGCCTTCGAAGTTCGACGTCGCTTAATCGGACGCCGGGGAATCCCACGTGTCACGTTGCCACCGTGCTCCAGAAAATGATCGGATCGATTGTTCTTGCTCTCCTCCTATTCTGTCAATCGATCAACAACGGGAGATGCCTGCGGGCGAACGGCACTCACGACGAAATCTCAGAGGCAGCGCGGCGACACAGGCTGATGAGACGGAGCCTCACGTTTCCCGATCCGTCGATGCTTCTGGTATGTAATTGGTTGATCGACAAAATTGTCGCTCATGAATTTGACACGTTAATTGTTGATTGCTCACCGAGAATGTCACGTATAATTTAACAGTCACGCATGCACGAAACTTTATTATATTAAAGGAAGAAAATGATATCACATAATATATAATGTACGATATTAAAATTAATTTATATTCCATGACAGTTTATTGCGACAGATCGGTGCCGTTCCGTTATGCGGATAATTAAAACTACCGTCGGGACCGTGCGTGTCCGAAAATGAATGTACACGGCCGTTTTCACGCACGCCATCCTTCGTCGCGTCCGTCCAATTTTCCGGACAGCGTGTTTCCCACAAACACCACCGCGACCGATTCCTAACATTCCCGGACCTTTCGAACGAACGAACACGAACGGCGCGAAGAAAATCGAGCAGCGAAAATCGCGACGGGCGTATTTTTGGCGTTTTTTTCGGCGACACGGGGGTAATTATTTGCCTCGCGCGCGTTGACATCGACGGAGAATTATTAGACGGTCGTGCTCCGATACTCCGGCGCGATACTACAACGCGCCGATCTTTCGTGGTCCATTCAATTTCCATGACAGCTGACGCCCGACTGGGGGACGGAAGGGTCCGCGCGGACATGGGATCGCACATATGTACAGGATGTTGCCGGTACGTCGGCCCTCGCGGACGCGGCACACATGCCGGCGCGCGTATGAATTTCGATAAAACCGCGAGAATTTCCACGGAGAACCGTACCTCGGCGTGACGCCGCGTCTGGAAAGGACAGTTTAACGAGATTCAGCCCGGGCTTCGTACATCGGATCTGTGCGAAAAACGTTTTTTTTTTTTTTTCCTTATACACGTCATGTCGCCGAGGCCGTTGGGCGAACGAAATCGATACATTCCACGAGCCGGTGATAGACTACTAGGTTGGTCCCGCGGTATGCGAGCGGCAATGCGAGGTGACGTTCATTACTTGCACTATAATTGAAGGCACGGTCGGATCGACGACTTAAGTCGGAAAATAGAATTCGGTGAATATTACATTCCAGATTTCGATGCGGCGAGCATATATTCTTGCGCATTATCATTGAAAACGAAAAGAATGCTACGTTTGTCCGGGATTAACTAGTTTCTACCGTAGTCCTGGCAAATAGTTCTTGTACTTCTAATGTGTATAAATATTTTAAATCTTTATTTCGTTTAAAATAGAAGGACGTGCCACAACTTATAGAAACCACGACAAGTTTGCATCTGTTACTGATATGGCGGAAAGAAAGAACGAAAATTAACGCGATAATTTTCTCAAAGCTTGAATTAAATATTTCGAACGCGAAGGGAGAAGCCTTCGTCGGCGCGAGACACCCACGCCGGAATTACGCTCGTACGATACGCTCGCAATCAATTATTCGCGCATAATGTCGAGTCCGGGCGCGCATTGTTTGCCCCGGGGGAGAGGCGTGGGAGAAAGAATTATTACGTGTCGGCTCCTTTTTTCTTCGGCGTGCATTTTCCACCTCCTTCCACCTACCCCTTCCGGGCGAGGCCGTAGTACCCAGGTACCTCGGCGGCGGAACGATTCTACGCGGAAATTTGCGGTTTTATCGGAAATTCATACGAGGGGCGGTCCGCGCGAGCCCGGGCGCGGAAATTGGACGAACTTCGTACGATCCACGGAATTTGGAATCCACGACGTGCCGCCGCGGTCGTCGCGATTCATCCTCATCATGTGTACGCAATGCCGTGCATCGCTGTACACCGTTGGCGAGAATAATTAAACGCGCGCGACGCTCGTATCATTTTCTTGATGCGGTGGGACTGGCGATAATCAGCACATTGAACGACGCGATAATCGTCATTATCTAATAGAGTTATTAATTTGGGACAGAACTTGTAATCGAGAAGCACAAAAGCGTAAATCAAAAATTATCCCTTTGGATATATTTATATAGCTAATAAGAAAGAAACAAAATTCCGAAATAGATCTTTTTTTAAATTCTTAAATGGATTTGATTTGACGATTACGCGATAACAACGTGAAACATCGCGATGGATACAGCGATGTGGAAATAATTTCTCGTTCTGGTGAAAGCATCATTATATTCTCAGCTTCAATGCCACTTTCTGCTTTCGCAGCTGATCTTGGGGCTGGGTACTCCGTTGCAGCTGGATCGCGAGAGTGTAATTGTGGGCGTGTTTGCGAAAATGCAGTACACCATGCCGACCAACGCCACGGATTTCACGGAGCCGGGAGTGTATTACACGAGAGCCAGCAAAAGCAGGTGGAGCTTTTACAGGATGTTCGAAAAGGTGGCGGCCTTGTACGGCTTTGGTGGCAAAGAGTGTTTACTCAAGGCCATTTGCGAAGTCGCTTACGTCCCATTCGACGTGCATCACGGTTTGCTGGGACAATTGGTGCAGACGTTCCTTAGGTAAATGAATTACCTGTCCATTTGGGAAAATTGACACACTTGAATATCGCGTACAGCGTGCGCGAAACGCAAGTCTTTTTTTTTTCAGATAAGTAAAAAGAAATTAATATGATAATGAAAATTATGTACAGGTACAAAGAAGAAAATAAATCGGGATATTGTAATTAAATAGAGACGTCTCTCTCCTTGAATTTTACGTGCTTTAAAATTGTATTGATGTTAACTTTTTTTCTAATCGATAAATGGTTTTATCGAACTTCAATAACACGATATTAACTGATCGTTTCGGTCTGAATTTTCACTGAGACTACACCGACTGTGATACTCGTTCGAAGATACGCCACTAAAGTTGTCCGATGTGTTAATATTACGATGTATCCTATATATATTTCCTCGGCGACCTCCACTATGTGAAAGAATGTCTCTATTATCGATAATCGTTGGAAGCCAGGCTTCGCCGGTGAGAAAAATCAATTAACCGCGCCGCAATAAAACGTCGGCCACGCGTAACGTCAATTACACGCAAACATAATGTCACTGTGGAGACTCGCGCGCGCGATGACGGTATTTAATAAACATCGCATCGAGCACACGCCGAGATTTTTCGATAAACCGCGTATCCGCGTATCCGCGGCTCGCCGATATTTTCGTTTTGTTCCGTTCGGCAGCCGTTTCCCGAGTAACGCCGGTACCGAACACGGCCGTTTCTCACAGCGCGGCAGGCACACACGTATACGTTACGCACGTGTATGCGAAAATACTATGGGATTCCAGGCCCTCCAGCACCCGGGAAGAGTACGACGAGTACGGGGATCGGGAATATCGGGCGGCTGAACGGCTGGGCGAGCAGGCGGAGGGCGCAGGCTGCCACGCCCTTTATCCGGAATGCCGCAGAAGTGTGCTCGACGTGTTTTCCACGTTGACCACGTGACGAGACCGGATGGAAATCTCGACGCGGTGCGGCCGGAGCTGCGTCGGAGCGGAGGTACGGACGAAACCCGGCAGATCGCTGATGGAAATATCGGAGATCGCCGAACGACGTCGTTGAGACGCCAGGATCGAAAGTTCGGAAGCTGGACGCGTTTTGCCGGGAACATGATTTCCGAAGTACACACGTATCACACGAAGCATCCCCCTTGAAATTTTCTAGGCGAGGCGATCGTGATTACTTAGAATTGTATGTCCTCTTTTTACATAAACGCAGGTAGCTGCGAGATATTCCACTAACAACAGCTCGCGCCGTTCGGTTGGCACGTACACGGAAAGAGCATGCACTGTATACATTTGTCAATTACAAAATTAAATTCCGACAGTACCGCTTCTCGCGTACGAAAGCGAGAGATTCCTTACGAATAATCCATCTCCGCTCTCGATGTTTCGTCGTTTCGGTGATGTGAGGAAGTCGTGAGAGCGTTTTCCTACGCTTTCCCCGTTTACCCCATTGGCATTCCTCTCCTTCCCTGATTCGGTGTTTCATCTTCCTAAAAGTGCACGTAAGAAACACGGGAGTTTCGGCGGGTGGAATGCCGGCATTTGATATTAAAGAATCCTCGGCATTCGCGGAGGATCGGGCCTCCCTCGTGAAGTTTATCGCGGTTTTTCCGTTACTTCGGCGCATTCCCGTATAATCAGCCGAAAGAAAAGTCGAAAGTTTTCACGGGCCGACTATCGCGATTTCTTTATGTTCCTTCGGAGCTGCGAGGTAAGATTATTTACTTTGCCCGGCGTTTTTTTCTCTTAATTGTACGGAAACTGAATCCTCGAGTGAAAGAGATGGAAGAAAGAATAGCGATCGAAAGTTTTTTAAATGTATAATCGCATCAGAAAATATTGAAGCTTACGAAAGCGCGTGTCTGTCTTTTTATATGTCTTTTTATATCTCATAAGTCAATTTACGTGATGAGCTATTTGGTTACATGCACTATTAATATATGTTATATATTTGCACGCACACACATACATATGCAATTCCCTTAATAATGCGTATTGCAACCGCATTCGTATATATATGTGGTGTATGCGGTTGCCAGTTAATTATTAGATAATGGACGTACCATAGTTAATTATGAATAGATATTAGTTTGGCCAGGGCAAGCAAATTTAGCTCTTTCCGAACAACGTAAGTGTTCGAAACACGTTGACTCTCGGATTACGGAGTATCCTAAAGGATATGCCCTCAGTACCTTCAGATTAATCTGAAGAGAACAAGGATGTAAGTAAAAAAAAACTTAATTACTCCGAAGCTTTTAAATCTTAAATGTGCAATTTAGTATTACAATATAATGATTATTTTTTTAATGTATATCGTAAGAAAATTAATAAGATTCTTCGCCCTCGTATTTTTTACATATAAACAATATTTCCTGAGCTATTCTTTGCGCATCTCGTGTCCAGAAAGAAAGAAGAAACAAATTTTCTTTGCTCGCCATTTAATGTTACCACAGGTGTGCCCTTTTCATTGTGTTACCGAAAACACAGCTTTAATCACGATGGATTTGTAGCGCGACCTTCTATTTATATTTCAGGTGACATCGTCGCAATAAACCTCGAGACTTTCTTTACGTTAACCGTTAACGTCCTCCCAGGTGGTCCGGGATATTGCAATCAAGGGACCGGGGTCCCGGGTTTGCGCAGCACACTGGAAAAGCGCTTTAACATTTTACAGCGCGAAACGATTTCTTCCCCATAACATTTTATTATGTCGCGCCGGCCCGCGCGCGCCCGCCCGCTCGCCACATTGTGAGATGCTCATTTCCTTGGAGCTTCGTAAACACACGTTTTTACGCGCCGTTTTGCGCAGGAACGGTAAACGAGCGCGTTTTTCTCGTATTTTCACAAACCACGAATTTGTTTCGCGGCTTGCATAGCCGCTCACTTCTATGTTTACTCCGAAATTCTCTCGAGTTTGCGCGGTGTCCACAGCCGGAAAAGCTAAATTTGATGAGAAAAGTTTGTTTTCTTAGGAGGCGGAGGGTATGCGCGGAGAGTTTTTGACTAATGGTCGGCGATGCATCTCTGCTCGCTCGCTTGATAATATATGCATGTGTTTTAATAGAAATTAAAATTTAATATCTTTTGTCAACAAAAAGTCAACAAAAAAGCTAGGCAGTATTAATTACACACTGCAATAAATTTGCAATCAGAACCGTCATAATCAAATACATTCTAAAATTTAAACTGTAAGTTACGGGCAATCAACAGCGATTCATATAATTATTATTGAATAATTTATTGTGTATTAATAATAATTTCACACTCTGACGTATTTGATATAATTAGTCGTCGATTAGTTAGGAATTGTAAATAGTAATAAGTAACGAACTGATCGTACAATAAGTTTTCTAAAGAAATTCTATGCGTGCGAGAGAAAGAGAGAAAGAGGGAGGGGTATTTTTACTTTCTCTATTGACAGGGGAACGACGCTATGAATTTATACCTTCTTTTTGAATTGTCGGTACATTTAGCTTCCCCTCGTCGAATTTTTGGCGTCTTTACGAGGTACCGCGACATTTTCGTGCTTCTCACTCGACAATGGTATGCATGTGTCTGGAGCGGTCGTAGTGAATAGAAACGATTTACTGCCGCGATATCCGCTGTCTGACGCCAATATTGCCCCCTCCCCCTCCCGCCCTGGCAGGAAGTATTACCTGACATTGGGTGGAGATTGCAAGTTGGCTTGTCGGCAAAAGTATTTGCATGGATATGATGGTATCATTCGATTCGCCTGACTGACAGCTGGAGATACTCGTTGGTATACGGGCAGAGTGTAGACGGGCGAATTGCCATCATCGCTTGTAACTGCACATGTTGACGCTTGTTGAACGAAAGCCAAGGGCCCGTTAAAACAACCAGGTTTATTTAAATTAGACTTGTGACATGGCAATATCACAGTCCATTTAGGTATTTTGTCTCAACATTAATTTCTGCTTTAACAAATCTAACATTTTAAAGAACTTGCCTGTTAATATTAATATTATAAATCGCGACGTTCGCTCGAGTAGCCTTAATAAAGCAAACCACTGCAGTGACTTATTCCAAACCGTTTCGCCCTCCTTTACTCAACTTTGCTTTTAAGCTTATAGCTATCAAACCTAGCTACCAAGCATTAGATCGGCCATATAAATTAATCGTCGCGCACCCAATGCTGTTCTATCCTCAGCGTCCTCTTCACCGTTTTATCCTCGAATATTCTCTACCGATGTCGGGAATCTATCGAGAGAAAGAGAGAAAGAGAGAAAAAGAGGTAGAGCTGAAACCTCAAGTCTTCTTCGCTTCGGCTATCGTCCGGACCATTTGCAGGCGACCTCGCGACCTTTCGCGAAGAATCAATTTCAGACGTGAGAGAGAGAAAAGAGGGAGATAAGTGACATCTCTTACGCTCACGTGACATCTCTTACGCTCACGTAGCTGCGCGAACATAAATGTTAATATGCAATAATGTGAAATAATGTTACGTGGCGTATACTTCGTTTGTATTGGTTATGAAAACTGGCGATCTGTTTCCGTCGTACATCCGGAGCAAATTGACATTTACTTGCCGGAATTGAAATTGCATTTTCAACAGCGGGAAGCGGAGGTGAAGAGCTAACTGGCACCACGTTACACCGTGACGGTTGTCAACGGTAAACGTCGGCGGAGACTGCAATGTATGTTCATCGTGGGACGGCGTGATATCTTATTTACCACGAAACGTTATTTGTCGAAATGAAATGTCATCCACTTAAAGACTTCCGCATCGAGAGTGCCTTCGCTGAGGATTTTATGTAAAAGCTATTGACATGGTTGCGAAATCTTCGGCAATCTCGATCGTCGATAAGTAAATCGCGTATACAAAATTGAAGAAAGAAAGAGTTCGGAAGCTCAAAGGTATATTATTCGAGCAATTTGAAGTCGATTTTATCTCAGCGAAAATGTCGGGACGTTTTCAGAAAATTTCATTTTCAAGACTTACGAGTGATTGCAAACAATTATATATTTCTCGTAAATTAGTTTGATGAACGATACCGATAAAAATTGATAAAATAAATTAGAAAGATAGATGGGGGAGGGAAATAAATGATATATATCACATTTATAATATTGGAAAAATACTTTACGCGGTTAATTGATAGTCGATATCCAATAGTACGATCCAATATTGGAGGGATTCCTAATTTATTTATCCGTGAACGAGAATAATAAATCATCTTATTACTAAATTGATAGTGTATTGCGAAATTTTATCAATGATCAATTATTTCTTATTCGCTGAATAACGTCCGACCACCGGATAAATACAAAAATTTTAAATCAATACAATACAATCTCTTTCTCTCTTTTTTCTTTTATTGTTGCCATTATTCGTTAAATAACAAAATGAAGATAAATAGTAGTTATAATAAAAAAAAATCCAATATTTGAATCCGCATTTATTACTCATAATCTATTAAAAAATTCACTATATTTTTATCACGCTAACAATAAGTCGAATAAAAGTCGAATATTTTAAATTTTATTTTGTATATCTAATTTTGTGTACGTTGTGCTGCATATTTAAAAGTATTTAATAAATTTATTATATGCGCGGCTATAAAGAGAACGGCCGATCTTAAGTGAAATGATGTCTCTCATTGTCAGTTTGATTTTGTCAAAAGGCAGCTAACGCAAGTTGTTCTCTTTCTTTCGAACGGTATATCATCTTTTGCGAAATCAATTATAGAGAGAATTCAGCTGGCCGTGCAATCCTCGTTTCCGTCGCGTCTCTCCGTCGGTGGCGGTGCAGGAAGCGAACGAATAAAGGGATATTGCTTATCCCTTTTGCCTCGGTTAACTTTCCCCCGTTCTTTCGTCCGGCGCGGCGCGGCGGTCCGTTATACAGACAGGCGCGAGGCGGTGCGGAATGTATATTGCGCCTTTTTCGCGTCTACAAAGGGGTTGTTACCGAAACGAAGTTGTTGCATGTCGCGCTTGTCCGCCCAACTCATTTTCAGGGCTTTGCAGATCGCCCGTATGTTACTGCACATGAAAGCGCAAACTAAATGGCGCAGCGCGGCTTATATGCAGTGTACATACAGCGACAGATATTTCAGATTCGCGGAATGTGTAAGTACATAAAGTGTGTTTGGTAACGAGAACCCGGATCAAAATAGATAGCTTGTTGATTTTACA